TGAAATAGTCACAAATATACATGACAGTTGGGTAATGGGTGATGAAAAGGTTGTTAGTCAGCTATACAAATCATCAACTGTGCTGCCACATAGAGAGCCAGGTACCCTGTGTGAGGCACATTAGCTGGGAAGCTGACGTGCCAGCTAAAATAAACAGTCCACACTTAATGAACTACTGTTTTGCTTGTTGCATAGAACTCAAAAAGGTTCTTTAGAGATGTCTGTTTTCTTCAAAAACCTGGTTAGGCAGTTTGAACTATACTTTGCTTTTTTTTCATCAGCATTTATTTTTTCCAGGAAATACATGCATTTGCCGCTGCAGTGGCTGTTGCTGCTGTATCTCCCTCATTGAGGCATTCTTAAAAGAAATGTGTGGGTCTGCATGTTCCGTATCACCCCTTGTCACCCTCAGCTTATTCAGAACCTGGGTCATCGAAAGCCAGGGGGTGTGGTTGGCTGGAGAAGGGCTAGTGAGCATTTCATCCCTTCCTTTAGGTGTCAAACCATCGCTGATTCACCAGCAAAGACCTCTCATCAGGAGCTGTCAGAATTAAGGGTCTGCACGGTCTCTGATGCCTCGGATTCAGGCCAGTCTCCAGGGAATGAGCAGGCAGGAAGAACTGAGGCTCATCTGTCACTCTGGTGTCAACCTGAGCCAAGACAGGTGAAGCCTCCCTAGCCCACATTTATCTAAAAACGTGGGCTATTCCTCCACCAACTATAATGCTTTGGTTAGTGTATAAGGCATTATCAGACTATAATGGTGGCTCTCCTAGCATGTTGACCATGAATCTTTAAACTTTAGGAACACATACACTTGTGCAGCAAAACACACTGTTACCCAGAACCTCTCGTGTTGACCAATTAGAAATTATAAATCACTAGAAGTCCATGAATTTGATTGTTGCATATTGAAACTATATTTGAAATAGCATATTAAAAAAATACTGTAGCAGCCCCTTACCAATGGCATTTCCTTTTCATATTTTGAGCTTCTTTAGAAGAAGTTCATAAAATAGTTCATGGGGAGTCCAGTAGGCAATACCCAAGGTGAGCGGCTGGCGGTCATGGCTGAGCCCACCCACTCATGTTTAATAAACTGAGTCTTAATGAAAGGTGACCCTGAAGCCACCTAGTGGGACAACCCCACAAAATACACGGCAAGCCTGGTAAAGTGATTCCATTTTTCAAACCCCTTAAGATCACAATCAGAAATAACAAACTGGCAGACAGCCTACTGATACGGTGATGTCCAACAAGGTTTAACTCTTTATCTTCAAAGGTTGTTTTTTCTAAGGCATTCTTATCTCCCCCAAGCCTTCATAGCTCTCGGCGGGAGACTGCGCTCCTCTGACACAGTATCTTTAGGGTTTATCCACAAGGAGAAGCACCATAACATCGCGGGGGAGCTACTTGTGCTAAAATATCTTGCTACAAATGCTAAGTTAAGAAGAGCATGAAAACAAGGAACGAAACTGATGCTCAGTCCTAAAAAGCAGCAGTAACAGTCTCAGCTGACCGGCAGGCGGCGCTATGCTCAGCACCACTTGCTCGAAAGTGCGTCCGAAGCCGACTGCTCTGGCGGTCCCCAAAGCAGAGCTGTTCCTGCGTAAAGTGAGGAAGTCTTATGAGTGAGTGGTGTATTTTCCAAATCAGTAAGGTGAAGAAACATACAGAAAAGAAAAAGCTTTGGGAATGATACAATGAAAATACATAAACCGGTGTGTACCGCGTGATAGGCTTATTGACCAGGTGACCCCTGAGCTCCACGGACACCAGCATGTTCTTCGGGACCCACCTCAGCTCCTCCACTGCTATAAGGCACTTTCCGTGACTCCCCAGAGTGTCTGCATGTCCCCATGTGACGCCACTGTTCCTGTAGTTACATGCACACTGGCAGTTCTCAGTCTGGAAGGTCACTGGAGTCACCCAAAGGGTCTGTTAAAACCCAGCTAAAATAAACAGTACACACTGTTTTCACACTGATAAATATTAGGAATACTGGGCCCACCCCGGACGGTCTGAGTCACCAGGGCTGGGTGAGCCCTAAGAACAGGCTTATCTAACAAGTGCCGAGCATGCTGACGCTGCTGGTACGGGGACCACACTCTGAGAACCACTTTTCCCGACTGCTGTGAGTGTATTCAGATCAGGGAGCATTTCTTGTACATCTCTTCCTAAGGGTCTAGTCAATGTCTATCAGTCATTGGATCAATCAACAAATATTTACAGAATGCCTATTAAGTGCCAGGTACTACGCTAGGCACTGGGACTCAGCAGTTTAAAAAAAAAAAAAAAATATATATATATATATATATATATGCACATACACGTATCTCTTGGCCCTCATGGAGTTTACCTTCTGGTGCTACATAATCCATAATTGTATATTGAAATCTGTCTAGTCATACAGAAGGGAAAACTGGCATTATCATGACCATTTTAATAGTACTATGGAAATACCAATTTTTCACTTTCTAATAATTTCTTTCCATTTGCATGCTTCTCCTTTCCCACTACCCAACACAGAAATGCGTAAGCCTGGCCGTATACCAGCTTGTGGGGCTTACACAATATTTGCTGATTGATTAATAAAATATTTGGTATAGGGCAGCGCCTGTGGCTCAGTGAGTAGGGAGCCGGCTCCACATACCCAGGGTGGAAAGTTCAAACCCAGCCCCGACCAAACTGCAACAGAAAAATAACTGGGTGTTGTGGCAGGCGCCTGTAGTCCCAGCTACTCAGGAGGCTGAGGCAAGAGAATCACCTAAGCCCAGGAGTTGGAGGTTGCTGTGAGCTGTATGATGCTGCCATGGCACTGTACCAAGGGCGATAAAGTGAGACTCTTGTCTCTAAAAAAAAATTTGGTGTAGGTGGCATATTGAAAAAACAAAAAATCCAAGAACTTAAGCGTTAATGTAGATAATAAAGCCATTTGGGGAGGTATGCAATTTCAGTGTTTTCATACTGATAAATATTAGGAATAGCTTCACGCGTGGTTTTCAAGTGAGCATGAGAGAGCTCTAAGGGGACTTCCCTTCTCTCCCTCCCCACTCCATGCTGTACAGCTGTGTAAACTATTTATGGCAAGTTTCAACTGCCTGGTGTGACTTTGAATGCCCACTGGATCTATGCAGGGTGCTATCCAAGCCAAGACATAAAGTTAACACTGGATTGTCCTGAGTATAATTCTGAGAAACTGGTAAGAGACCCTGGGAGGCCACACGGTGTCATGGAAAGGAAGGGGACCAGGTACAGAGGCGAACTAACCCCTCCACAAAGCCGGGAGCCTTCTCAACACAAACGTCCCCAGCCTGTGAGCCTCCCCTCTCTAACCCCAAGAAAGTACAAAAGATGAACCTTCAACTTTGAACTACTTTTTTTCAAAGTTTCTCAGCAAATAAAAATGACAGAAATCATTTTTGGGAATAATTGGAAGGTAAGTGAAACAACCATGTTGGTATTTTGGGGATTGGCAAATGTTTTTATTTATTCATTTTTTTGAGACACAGTCTCACTTTATTGCCCTTGGTAGAGTGCCAAGAGTCAAGGTCTCGCTCTTAGTCAGGCTGGTCTTGAACTCATGAGTTTAGGAGATCCACCCACCTTGGCCTCCCAAAGTGCTGGGATTACAGGTGTGAGCCACTGCATCTGGCTTGGCAAATATTTTGTTTTGTTTTGTTTGAGACAGAGTCTCACTTTGTCCCTCTCAGTAGAGTGAGTCATAGCTCACAGCAACCTCAAACTCTTGGACTCAAGGGATCCTCTTGCCTCAGCCTCCCGAGTAGCTGTGACTACAAGCATCCACCACAACACCCAGCTAATTATAGAGACGAGGTCTTGCTCTGGCTCACGCTGGTCTAGAACCTGTGAGCTCAGGGAATCCACCTGCCTCAGAGTGCTAGGATTACAGGCATGAGCCACTGTACCCAGCAGGCAGGCCGGCCAATGTCTTTAAGAAGCTTCCCTTTTTAAGGTCAAAGCCATAAGACATCTATATTATATGAAAAAAAAATTATAGGGCGGTGCCCATGGCTCAGTGAGTAGGGCACCCGCCCCATATACTGAGGGTGGTGGGTTCAAACCCAGCCCCGGCCAAATACAACAAAAAAATAGCTGGGTGTTGTAGTGGGTGCCTCTAGTCCCAGCTACTCGGAGGCTGAGGCAAGAGGATCACCTAAGCCCAGGAGTTGGAGGTTGCTGTGAGCTGTGACACCATGGCACTCTACCAAGGGCAATAAAGTGAGACTCTGTCTCTAAAAGAAAAAAAAAAAAAAACTCCCCCCCAATAAAAATTATAAGGGAGGGAGTATTTATAAATGGAATTCTGAGAAGGCTAGTTTCAACATTCCAGATCAAATATTTCTTTTCTGTTAATGTGAGAACCAAATTTGAGGTTCACTGTTAATAATTTCAAGTCAGTGATATCAAATAGCAACGCTACCTCAAGAGTAACATTCTCATCCTCTTGCTACCCCAAATCAGTGATATAACTGGATCCTCGTCCAATAATCACTGTGATTCTACATATTAAAAGATTTAAGAGAAATTAACAACATTAAAAAATGTATACTTTTAAAATGGAGACCAAGTCCACCAACTTTATTTTTATGAATCATCCTAATTAAGTAAATTTTGATTACTAGAAAGCTTTGGGTATAAATGTGACCTTTTAGTTAGTTACACACTGACTCCTAAAAGATGACATTTATTTCCCTGGAGCGGTTTACTAATTGTCACCCTTATAATCCAAAGGAATTAGTATTTCTCAAAAAGGTGTGTGATTCCTTGCGGAAGTGTGACTTCCTGTGTACCAGCCCCTTTCAGATTGCCAAATATAAAGTCAAATTGGCTAATAAAGTCTATTGACAAATAGAAGTAAATCCCTGTTAGAGATTACATTGGTCTCAAATTATTGCTACCTCATTTAGTGTAATAAAAGAACTCACCACGATATTCTGAAAAAACACACACATAAATCTAAAATAAAAATATTCTCTTTAACATCATTCATATTCTAGAAATAAATTAGTGTCCTTAAAAAAGCTTTTCAATTATTCACAAAATCCACCCTTATTTTCTGAGTTAACAAGGCTGAATTTTAGAAGTGCAACAGAAATTTCCGGAGGCCTTCGCTCCCGAGCAGGCAGCCTTCTCAGTGGTTCCCGAGACACAGCTTCTTGTTTGGATGCCGCTCTTCACTCAGAGGCGTGGTGCTCAGCACTCCGTCTAGCATTCAAGAACAACTTCAAGTCAGGACAACTTCACTTCAAACACATGGGTACTTGTTTTAGCCACGTAATTTATAAAAGCAAAATAATGCTTATGTTAAAGGAATATTTGCTTTATTTTATCTTCTAATTCTTAATGGTGAAGAACTAAGAATTGGAAGAACTGGTTATTGATTCTAAATAACTCACTCTCAGGAAATACAGTATCTGACCTTCTATACACAGGATTCACTCAACAGAGTATGGAAAATAATTCATAAAACTTCTTCATGGGAGGGAGTCCCTATTACACATATTAGGCTGGAAAAAACAAAGTAACCCACTTATCCTCTAAGGGAGGAGGGCCCTGTGTGGGGGTAGAAAGTGGGGGGAGGCCCCCAATTCACACAATCCTGTACTGGCAAGAAGACTGACTTATATGACTGGATGGGCAGGGCGGAGAGCAGGGCTTCAACCTTTTCCTGGGTTTTGTTGTTTTTAGCAACTTTCTACAATAAACCAAACTCTGTTTAAAGCATTCGATAAACTGCACCTATTTAAAGGGTACAGTTTGATGGGTGCTGACAGAAACACACACACACCTTTCACCAGTCAAGACAATGTAAGTATCCACCACCTGCCAAAGTCTCCTCCTGCCTGTCAGAGAGCTGCCTGCCCTCCATGCCTGTGTGTCTGCTCTGCTGTTTCCTTGTCCTAAGGACACCTGGGGTCAGGGCTCCAGCTTGCCTTCCAGAGGTAGATTTGGAAAACATCCTCTTCCTCTCTCATCCTCTTGTGTAATATTTGAAACATAACACAGACATAAAGCCTAACAATAAAAGGAACGTTCAATAACTTACTGCCCCTCAAAGGATTTTATCCTCCTTAAATTTGCACTAACTGAATAAAACTGCATAAGGTGGGGTGGGAGCAGGGTGGAAAAATGAACCTACTGCCCCAACAACTAGATACTAGAACATCACCAGTTCCTGTGTGCTGTCTCATCCCAGCCCCGTTCACAGGTACCTACTACCTTAGAGTTTGTGTTTATCATTCCATTGCTTTTTAAAAGCAATTTTACCATGCATGCTAAACAATATGCTCCAATATTTGGCTTCTTTTTGAACTTTACATAGAAATTGCATCATAACAATTCTGCAGCTTTTCAAAATCCAATATTCTACTTGTAAGATTCACATGTTTAAGAATGTGGCTCAAGTGCATTCACTTTCACTACTATATGATGGTCCATTGTGGGAATACATTAGAATATTCTTATTTACTCTCCCAAGATAAATATTTGTGCTATTTCTAGTTTTGGCTTTTATATAACAATGTTGCAATGAAGTCTCTATCTCTTGTATAACGTGCAAGAACTTCTCTAGGGCATATGCTTAGAAACATTGTGGGGTCTTTGGATATATGCACATTTCAGCTTTGCAAAGATATTGTTAAATTGTTTCCTATGGTGGTTGTAACCAGCCCCACAGAGAAGTTTCTCGTGATCCATGTCCTCCATAACACCTGGTACTGGCAAACTCCTATTTGCAAATCGAACAGGTGTGAAAGGTTGCTCCCATTCAATCTTAATCTACATTTCTCTGACTACTAATGAGTTTGATCATCTTTTCACGTGTTCAACATTTGTATTTGAATACAAATTATTCAACATTTGTATTTCTTCTGCTGTGACATACCAACAGAATGTACCTATTCTCTACTAAATTCTCCTTTCTTATTGATCAGTAGGACTTCTTTACATATTATGGAAACCAACTCACTGTCATGGGTAGAAAATATATTCTTCCAGCAGATGGCTGGTCTTTTCCCTTTCTTAATTGAAATGCATTCTAATTTCTCAATCTTCTTTCCTAGAGTAAGCATTATTTGTGTCCTGCGTTAGTCATCCTTCCTACTCCAGGTCATAAAAATACTTTGTATTTTCTTTTCAAACTTAAAAAAATTTACCTTTTCCACTTGTCTTTAATCCACATGACTGATTTTTTGCACGTAACTCAAGGAAAGCATTCAGTATCATTTTGATAACTCACTTCCCAGCACGACACATTAAATATTTCTGCTCCGACCCCACCTGTACATGACCCTCTGTCAGGGGCCTCCATGCTCCCATCAATGAGCTGTGACCACACAAGCTACCAATTGTGCCATTAATAAGCAGGGCTTAACTTATGATTTTAGCCATCATATTTTTTCATTTAAATTCTGAATTCTTCCTGAGTTTTTTTCAGAGTTGTTTGTGTTTTTTTTTTGTTTGTTTGTTTGTTTGTTTTTTGTGAGACAGTGTCTTGGTCTGCTGCCCAGGCCAGAGTGCAATGGCATAATCCAGCTCACTACAACCTCCCTCTTCTAGGCTCAAGCGATCCTCCTGCCTCAGCCTTCCAAGTAGCTGGGACTACAGGCACCTGCTACGACCTGGCTAGTTTTTCTACTTTATATAAAAGTAGAAAGCAAAAGTCTCACTCTTGCTTCAGGCTTGTCTTGAACTCCCTGGCCTCCCTCGATTACAGGCATGAGCCACCATGCCTTTCTGTCTAGTCATTCTTTATAATGGCTTGTTCTTTGTTCAATTTTTCAATCTTTTACTTCTTAAACATTTTATACCTTCTATTTGATAACTCTTTAGAACATGAAGTCCTTGGGGATCTAAATGTGCTATTTGTTGTTTCTGTCTGCTCTCACTCGTGGTAGTATATTTTCTTCTGTGTTTGGTGATTTTTCAATTATGAACTTTTTTTTTTATATCCTGTGGGCCTGAGTTGGGATCCCTTTCCTTCGGAGAGAATTTGCACATGCCTCTGCCAGGAGCCAGCAGGTGCACCTGAGTGGGAGCATTTTCGCTTCCATTGAGGAGCTCCAGCTTCAGGTTGGGGCTTTAGCTTAGTTCACCCACTTTGTAGCAGATCCAGACTCACTCTCTGGGGCCCAGATCATATGGCTGTTCATCCTCAAGACAACCTGGGCTTTAGGTTTGCTGATTGAACCTAATCAGATTCTTGCAAAATGTTTCATCCTCTCTCTTTTATTTATTTATTTTTTTGAAAGAGTCCCAAGCTGTTGCCCTGGGTAGAGTGCTGTGGTGTCATAGTTCACAGCAACCTCCAACTCTTGGGGCTTAAGCCATCCTCTTACTTCAGCCTCCCAGGTAGCTGGGACTACAGGCACCGGCCACAACGCCTAGCTATTTTTTGGTTGTAGTTGTCATTGCTGTTTGGCAGGCCCCGACTGGATTCAAACCCACCATCTCTGGTGTGGGTGGCTGGCGCCCTAGCTGCTTGAGCTACAGGCACCAAGCTACTCTCTTATTTTTGAAGGCAATATGAGTGGTTCCTGGATATCTCCTTTTCCTCTTTTATGAAACAAAGTCTCACTCTGTCGCTATGGGTAGAGTGCCCTGGCCTCACCATAGCTGAGCTCAAACTCCTGGGCTCAAGTGATCCTCTTGCTGCAGCCTCCCAAGTAGCTAGGATTACAGACTTGGGCCACCATGCCCAGCTATCCTGTATTTTCTTGAAAGCTCTGTGACCTGTGAATTCTTGTTATGGGTTATTTGGGTGCTGGTTCTGTGGAGAGGAAGAGCACTCAGGAGCAGTCAGCCACACTGCCTGTCTCCCTTCTTTCATTGTCCCTGCTACTGACACTGAGAGAGTATCGGGCAGCAAGTTGCCCTCTGAGTTGGACAAACTTGGCCATAGGTCAAGCCCCAGTTTAGCAATAAAGCTGGTGTCTCAACATTCACCTGTTGATTCTTTTTTGTTTGTTTGTTTCTTGAGACAGAGCCTCAAGCTGTCCCCCTGGGTAGAGTGCCATGGCTTCACTGCTCACAGCAACCTCCAACTCCTGGGCTCAAGCGAGTCTCCTGC